GGGAAACCCCACAAGATCCCGTAATGTTATGGGGCCATTACCCAGATTAGGCTCCTGGAAACCGGGTCCAGTGTCCCTTCTCAAGAAAGTTCTCGAAAATAGAAAAAAAGGCAAAACTCCAAAGAGGAAAAGGACCATAGAACCCCTTATCCTTCCGACCATCCACCTCTCCAATAGTTAAAAGGGACTCTATGGGGGGGAGCTAAAGCGCACCCCGTGACCAAGTGGTGACAACAACCATTGACAAAAATATAACCTACCAACAAAGTTCAGTTTAACTAGGGATGAGTCCTGTCCCCACGTATCCCAGAACCATTTCCTCGCTCTCTGATTCCCTGGCAGCTTTTTCCTAGCACAGTCACTATTGATAATCAGTCTGAGTTGGTTTGCCACTGTGTTTTTAAGTTGAGAATCATAGATACCAGAAGCTCTAAACAATTGATTGTTTCGAGTATCCCAAATTATTTTCATCAACATCGCCCTGCAAGTCTGAGCCACATATAACCAGGTTCTTTCCTCCTTAATCCCAGTTCTATGAGTCCATGAGAGAATCCATTCGTCAGACCATTGAAAGGTCCCTTTTGTAAATTTGTTCCAATGTTTGATCCACCAATCCCAAAGACGTCTGGAAGCTGGGCAAGTTAGCCACAGGTGTCTGTTCTTCTCCTTGGGCCATCTGCATCTTGAACAGACAGTAGAAATCTGCATACCCTTGGAAGCYAGCTTGGTTGCTGTAGCCGCAGCTAAAAAGGTTTGTAGCCATACAATACTAGCTAGCTTCCGAGAAGGCATCATTTTGTATTACTGCCATACGAAGGGTAGTTGGTCTTCCGAGAGTTGCAGTAGATCAGTGGTCTCTCGCCTTTTTGCAATGGAGCCTGTTGGAGGTTTCTTGACTGTTGCTCTAAGTATCCTCACCCCTGTCTCGGGTCTGTATTGATTTAGAGTTATCCTTTTCCTTTGAGTGTGGACATACCACCTTACAGTTATCGGGTCGACTACCTTTTGAGTCAGTTCTTGGAGTTCCAGTGGGATGGAAGCACTCCACTGAGCTCCTCTGGCTCCTGAACCCTTCTAAAGAGTCAAATCAACTGACACTTCCTTCATAGCTCCCAAATAAAAAAGATCAGGAATTCTGATTTCGTTATTGAGAGGTATCAGCTCCTTCGAGAATTCTACACACTCAAGAGCTTTCCATTCTTTAGCAACCCATCCTTCATCCCCCAAGTCATCAGTGATTTGCAGTACTACTGATGGAGTCTTAAACCAACGGCCCATCAGCGATTTACCAGGATCACGCAGAAGTGCTTTCCATGAGTAAGGAATGGTTTGGATCACAATAGACAATTTGATGCTCACTTGTCTTAACCTAAGTAGCTTCAGTCCTAGCTCATCTTCCGTGTGCCAGTCTCTTCTCTCCTCATTCCATAAGTCTTGAATCCTTACTACTCCTCTTTCTATCCAAGATTTACCGAAACTGCCCGGCGAATCCTATGCTGGGAAAACAGTGTCTGACTCATCTACCAACGTTTTCCAAAATCTCGATTTGGGCTCCTTGTTATCATACGATTTAATCAGTAAACATGACAGCACATCCTCATCTCGGGTTAAAAACCATTCCTCCCTCAAAATATTAGTGGCAAGTCTAAGCGATGGGGTATCTCGTTCCGCCATCAGTGCTCTGATCGACCATTTTGCTAATAATGCAATATTCTGTTGTTGAGGGTCGAGTATACCTAACCCCCCCTCAGTTCTTGGAAAGGTAACAGTTTCCCACACAATTTTTGAAATAAAGCCGTTCTGAGAGTCTCCTTCCGGTTTCCATAGAACCCTAGCTGCTGCTCTTTTAATTCTTCCATGTGCTGCATCGCCCAATAGGTGAACAACCAGAGTATACCACAAAACCGCAAATGCCGATGTCGTAATTACCAAGGCTCTTCCAAATAGTGAAAGATGACGAAGACTGTTCCACGACATGAATCTGCCAATAACTTTTTCTTCCAATTGCGAATCTTGAAACAGGGAGTTATCCGTGAGGGAGACTTGCACCCCCAAGAAACGATCCGAACAATCAGCAGGCACTTTCCTCAAGCCCCAATTTACTTATAAGTCATATGATTCAGGCAAAAAATATTCAGATTTGTTCCAATTGATAGAAACCTCAAACAATTCACAGTAAGAGTTTATAACTTTTCTGACTTCCAAGAGGTTAGGTCGAAAGTTTGAGCATGTAAGCGTAAGGTCGTCCGCTAAGGCCCCATCTTTCCATTGGCTTAAAGGTTGAAKTGTCAGTCCTACAATTGAGTCACAATGCCTTAGGTTATCTAGCAGGATTTATAAATGTAGGACGAACAACAGGGGGGCCAAAGGGCAACCCTGTCTGAGAGATCGTGAAAGAGAAAAGGTTCGGGAAATTTTTCCGTTGACCATTACGGTCGTCGTGGCCGTTGAGTACATCACCGTAACCCATTGGATAAAGTTCGGTCTGATCCCTATGTGTTTTAGAGTCGTTGAGACGAAGGCCCATTCAACCCGATCATAAGCCTTTTCCATGTCTAATAACAACAAGGCTACATTACGGTTTTTTTTCGCAATAATCTCTACTGCTTGTATCTCTAATGCTTGTATCGTACAGACAATGTTATCCATAATTGAACTGTGTTTGACAAAAGCCCCTTGATCTTTTCCAACCAGGCGTGGGAGATATCTGGCTAACCATATGGCTAACACCTTTGCAAGTAGTTTATAAGAGGTATTAAGTACCGAGATAGGCCGCCAATTACGAACATCTGATTTCTTGCCTTTTTTATAGATCAGCATTATTATGTCTTTCATCATACTCTTAGTTAAGGATCCCCCCGTCAGAACTCTGTTGTAAATTTTGAGTAACATTGGGCTGATAAATCCCCAGACTGCTAGGTAAAGMTTAATTGGCATACCATCATCACCTTGGCATTTACCAGTTGCCATTTGCTTGGCCGCCCRGTGTAATTCTTTCATATTAATCGGTCTCTCCAAATCTAGGTATCCTTGAGATTGAAGAGTTACTTTGGAAAATTGCCAGAAATTGGAGCATTGTCTGAGGTCAGTGGAGAAATCATCAAAAGGCCTCCTGGTGGTTAGGATGTCCGGAATATAGAGGCATGCGTACTCGCTTATTGCTTCTAGATCGTCCGAAACTTGCGGAAGCACTCAAAAGGGGTGAGTCAGTTCCAGCATAGGCATCTTTCTATGTTGATTTCAGAGTCTCCTAAAAGTCTTTTTTGTCATCCTATCACCAGTTATTATGTTCTTCTGGGCTAGCCAGTTCTTCCACTGTTCTTGCTGTTGTATTTCCCTTGCCTCTAGCTTTAGTAGAGCTCTTCTTCTTAAAGCCGTCCAATAAGCATCGGAGATTGGGTGCTTGCCAAATTCTGATTCCGCTTGCCGTATTTTCTGATGTAGTTTATTTCCTGTTGTTTATTGTGGAATGCCTTAATCTGTGAGATATTGCTTAAAGAGCCTTGCAAGATTCTAAAGCCGACCTCTGTCCAGTACTCTTCTGAGGAARACAGGGACTTCGCATTTTCCCATTCCTCGAGATGATGTTGAATCCAGGAGATCACCTCCGGATCTTGCAGTGGCTAAAGGTTTGCTTACGTGAAATCTTAAAGGTTGCCAATATCGGTGAATGGTCCGAAATAGTAGAGGAGCCAACTTCTACTTTGGTGCAGTATTCGTTAGGCACTCCTCTGATTAGGAAAAAATCCAATCGTTTCTTGACCGGAGGAGATTGAGAACCGTACCAAGAATAGCCAAGATTTCCTGGATTTAATAATCAGAAAATGTCAACCAAACCYTGGTTGGTCATGAAAGCTTTCAAGAGTCTGGTGTCGGTCCTAATTGGGTCAGCCTTCGGACTGTCTAATCCTGGATTCAGGATCGTATTCCTGTCCGCTGCGATAATGGGATTGGGTGAGTTAGGAATAAAGCTTGTTATTTTAGAAATAAATTTAACTTTATCCCCATAACATACAGGCAAGTAAGCTGACATAATGGCCCAGTCTTCATCCCCCATGGAGAAACTCACCCACACCCACCGTCCCCAGATATCCTCCATATGATCGAGTATTTTGATTTCAAGATCTTTATGGAAGAGAATTTTCACTCCTCTAGTTCTTTGGTCACCTTCCCCTCCTCTCGCTGGGCTCCAATATTGGGGGCCAGACCACCACTTTCCTGTTTCCTGAAGTCTAGACTCATCCAATTTCGACTCTTGAATACAGATAATCTGGGCATGGTTTTTGTGGATCCATGTTTTAAGACGACTTCTTCTGTGTTTTGTACCGGAGTCATTTAAACCACGAACATTCCACGAAACAATTTTCAGATTCGATTTATTCGTCATCAGGACCTACAGGGCCTGGGAGACCGTCTTTGCCATGGATACGGCTTCCAGAGGAGGAGGAGATCTCAATTTGTTTTCTTCTTCTCGTTCCCTCTTTCCCTGACGACAAGGTAGCTCCCTCTAGCCAAGGAGATTTCAGGATGTCAGAGAAGGAATCCTCAAACAAAATGCCTCTGTGGACTTCCGCATCTTTTAGCCATTCGGCTATGAGCTTTGTTGTGAAGCCCTTCAACAAGATGTAGTCCAACTCTTCGTTTAATTCCGAGTCCAGAATTTCCAGAGTGAACCAATCCCAATCTAGCGATTTCAGTTTGTCTTTGATCGCATTGTCCATTTTGGCATTCAGAAAAGCAAAGAGGAGGTGCAATTTCCCATTGTCTATTGTGATGGTGTGGACTCCCGTTCGCAAGCATTGAATGAGACGGCATTGTACACAGGACGGGATCAGAGATTTGGTTTTCCTTAAGATAATGGATTCAGCCAATGCCTCATTGGCTGTGATCGCCGGTAATTCCATCGAACCATCTGCCCATTGGGCTGCGAGGACCATGACTCCTTTGTTGGAGTTTGCGAAAATCAAAGGCACTAAAAACCTGGGCGTGTCCTCCTCTCCTCTCCCTAAGGTTGATATCAAAGCGGCCCAGGAGAGCCCTTCTCCCAAGCCGCCAACCTTTCCTGCTTCATCCAATTCAATCATCATTCGGTCTTCTGTCGATTTCACCCCTGTGCCCTCTCCTCCCGGATTCCCATGATCAGAGAAGGAGACTTCATCGTTCTTTACCTTCTTAACATATTTCTTCGAAGATTTTGATAATGCCTTGATCGCTCTCCTCTCCAACTGAGTTTGTCTGAGTAAGCCAGCAGACTCCGAATCTGACGAGGCTCCGTTGTGGCTGACCGGTCCGAGCTAACCTCTTCTCGTTCGCCTCTTCTCCTCTCATCCCCTTTCGAGCCTTTCGCCCGATTGTCCTTCTCCTTCTTATTGTGACCTATTTCTTTCAACCCTTGATCATTGCGTTTCTCCTTCCCTATCCCCTGCGTCTTGTCAGTCC